CTACATCTTTGATGTTAAATTTACAGTATAGCAAATTTTAATTGCTGGGTGAACTATCCCTTTAAATCCCTTTTAAGTGTTGTTAATTTATAGTATCCAGTATACTGTAAGTGCACATACTGTAAAATGAAGTGCAGGTGAACTTCGTATCTTTGTAAATACTGATGTTTTGTTGTTGTTCAGCCTGTGATCTCGTCAGGTGTATATCAGAAAAACAGTGTAAACACAATGTTTGGAAAACTAAATGTGATCATTACCACATATACTGTCATTTATTTTCTGTGAATGTGTGATCAGTGCTCAGTAAACAGTATTTGATCTTCATATAACAGACAGATTTCAACTGGTCAAAGTAAAGTCAGTATGAACGCATTTTAAGCATGCTCATGCTCTAATCGACTGTCATATATCTGTTAAAGAACCATTTTTAAAACTGAGTTTAAAAGGAAATATAGTCATCCTTTGTGATTATGTGAACTGTTTTGAAATCATCTGAATAAAGGAAAGTCTGAAGACTACTGGAAACATTTTGCTGTGAATTCACATAACTAATTAATGTGACATTACTGTGGTTTTAGAAGGTTTGTACTTCTGTGGACTGCTGTAAGCAGACAGATTATTTAAAATTCAAATATTTTAATATTTCAAAAATAAGTTTAATTTTAATATTATATAAAAATCAGATGTTGTCACGGCCTGGGATAACAGAGGACTCAAATGCAGAGGAGTTTGTGAGAAGGGAGATCTTTATTCTCACTAGAAAACACAAAGTAAAATAAACAATAATTAAACACTGTGAACAGGTCACTGGAGATGCCAGAGCTGGCCGGCAAAGAATGCGGACCACACGAGCTGCCGGATCTCCTCTCTACGAGTCCTGAGGAATGGCGAAACGTGGGTAATGGCTTTGCATTACCCAACACAAGACAGCAGACTACTTGAACAGACTAGTCTTGAACAGACAAGACAAAGTACAGAAAAGCAGAGACAACTATGTTTAACGTTTGGATGTGTAACAACGCAGTAGGATCCAACCAGGGCCATACGCAGGTTTTTATAAATACCGAGGTCCCAAAATGGAGATTGGGTTCGGGGGCATGCTCCGCCGAGAAAATTTAGATTTTCCTGACCTACATGTGTGCATTTTAAGATGTTTTAAGGCTCATAAATTGGATAATAATATAGGTTTAAAACCAAGTCAGTGGGCAGTAGTAGTTTAAATTATTTTTTCAAAATAAGAGATTCTTAAACATGAGAATCAGATTAAATGTTGCATTGAATGATCCACGCTACAAACTGGAAATAGAGAAGATAGAGTTTGTCTATGTTTATGAATTTAATAAACTCAGTTATAATTATCTTGGTAGCCTTCAGTAAAATCATGTGTCTAAAATTATTAAAGGTGAATATATATATTTTTTATTCACACTGATAGAAATTAATCTTTTCCAATAAGTTTAAACTGATTTATTGATTTTTTTTACATTTTATGGACATTTTTACCTTTATAAAGCCATTTTTTATAAAAGTGTCCATCATCTTTTGAGTCAAATTCTTACATTTAAGGCTCATCAATTGGATAATAATATAGGTTTAAAACCAAGTCAGTGGGCAGTAGTAGTTTAAATTATTTTTCTAAATAACAGATTCTTAAACATGAGAATCAGATTAAATGCTGCACTGAATGATCCACGCAACAAACTGGAAATAGAGAAGATAGAGTTTGTCTATGTTTATGAATTTAATAAACTCAGCTATAATTATCTTGGTAGCCTTCAGTAAAATCATGTGTCTAAAATGATTAAAGATGAATATCTATTTTTATTTTTTTTTTTATTCACACTGATAGAAATTAATCTTTTCCAATAAGTTTAAACTGATTTTTTTTTACATTTTATGGGTATTTTTACCTTTATAAAGCCATTTTTTCTAAAAGTGTCCATCATCTTTTGAGTTAAATTCTTACATTTAATCAGTGAATTAGAATAATAAGACATTTGGGCTGTTGCCAAGCAAATTAAATCAACACAGAAGCTGCATCTGAAGTAGCATTTAGATGTATTTACACACTGTTTAATGCAAGACATGAATGCATTTAACCTGCAATTACAAATGCATAAATAACGTTTCGATATATCAAACATAAAACGTTGAATACTGATATTTGAAATTATTTAAAACATGAATAAAATCGAAAAAAAAGTCAAAATGTGAAATTTAAACGGCCAATAGGTGGCAGCAAATCACTGTTAATAAGTGAGTCATTGCGACTGAACCGAATCATTTAAACGGTTGATTCATTCAGGAGCGAAACACCGTCATGCTGCTCAGAGACGCAAAACAGTGCTGTGGCTGTATTTGGAATAAATTTTGTTGGCAAAATAGAGCAAAAACAGGCAATATGGTATCTAAAACGTAAGTCTCTTAATTAACTTCTAGTTTATTGAGCTGTTGTAAAAAAATCAATATCACAATTGTAATCATGGTAATTTTTGGAGAAAAAGAACAAACGTGATGTCCGCACACTGATATAACTGCTCCATAAAAGTATTTATTGCAACGTTTCGACCATCCGGTGAATGGTTTCAGCACTCTTCGTGTGAAATTGGTTAATTATATGAAGTGGTATAAATATATACAGTTTCTGCCCCTATGTCTTGAATTTGTGATCATTCTAAATGCATTTTAATAGACTGAATCATGCAGTGAAAGAACGCACTCTAAATGCGCACACGCACTAGTCTAGACTTCACGTAATGTACGCGTGCACTCTGTAGGGAATGGTTTTTGCAAAATACTAGATAATGTCAAATCGCACATCGTTAAAACAACAATTACGGTATTATCGCAGATGATATATATCGCACACCCCTAATGGAAACTGTGATTCTTTAATTAATTGAATGTTTAAAATTACAAATTAAAAGTCTTTTGTAATATGTTTTACTGTCAGTTTAATACATCCTTGCTGATTTCTTTTAAGGAATTTCTTACGAAACGTTTAAATATAAATGTTCTTTCGATTGAAATGTGACCCAGACCTTTCTTGGCAGTTGTAAGTCTCTCCCACATTGACAGCTGCACTACTATTCTTGCTAAACCGCAGCTTCTCTCATTGAAAACATTCAAAGTAATTACGTCTCCAGTGCAGTCCGTGTAATTTGAAGTCTATTAGTGACAAATTCATTGGCATGCAGAATTGAACAGAGCATGATTAAAGACAAGCTAGTGGACCCTGAGATCTCTTCAGGTGGATTCGCTTTGAAATTATGCAGCAATGAACAGCTCTCGGACAGAAAGCGGCGTCAGGCTGCCGGTCGATGATGGGAAGTTGTTGTTTGGTGTTTAGCTGGTTTTGTGTCTGAAAAGCACCCCAGCCTCTGAGGGGAATGTTTAGAACCGGCTGCTGATTAACGAATGCCGAAACGAGTTCAAAGGAATGGAAAATTAAAGCGTAAAGATTTCTGAAATCTGCTCCGTTTGTTTTCATGTTTTCATCTTTGATGCTTACCATTCCTACAGTTGTGTTTGAGCCAGCTAGTTCTCACAGGTTGGTTTTGTAACCCCTTTCAGCTGTTTCAATATCAAATGAATCATAAAAGAGTTATGGCTTGTTTATTCTTACAAGACAAATGAAACGGATAACTGCAATCCATAAATCTAGAATGTTAACTGCTATTGCTTTACATAGTGCTGTCATATGCAAAATCATATTTCACTTATTTCATATTTTCAAAGTCAATATTATTTATGAATGTATTTATTTATATATTATCATACAAATTAAAA